ATCACATTATACATCTGTTAACTTCCTTCACATACCCTCGGCTTCATCCAAACTGAACTGCTGCTTGTTCATTCATAGGCTGCAATTCCTGACCTCTGTGCCTTTGTGTTTGTTGTTTTCTCCATTGGGAATGTCCTTTTCTTCATCCATTCTAATTACATCCCCACAGCAGGATGATCAAATCTTACCTTCCTTTCAAAGCCCAACTCTACTAAGCCTTGCCAGATACTTCACACCTTTCCACACCCTCCACTGTATTCACAATCTCTCTCTCTTTTTCCACTATTATAGGAATTTATCTGCATGCCTTATAGGACATTTATCACTAGGAGATTTCTGCATTATTAATACTAAAATACATATTTTACTTGCTTTACTGGCCTGTAAACTCTTTGAGAAAAAGCTCCAAGTGGGTTCATCTTTGTATTCCTCACCCAGCATACACATCCCAAACACACACACACAACCACAGCACAGTGCCTTTAACCTCCTGGATGTTCAATAAATATTTGTGGAGGAGTTGTATTAATTGTGGTGGATTTATACGCAAAAATTGGGAGGAAATTTGTTTGGGTGCGTTAGATAAGCTGATATATGAAAAGTATTGGCAATCCCTTTTACCATGAACATGATTTTTATCAGCTACAACTCAGCAAATGCCTACTGTTAAGTATTAACATTATTTTTCATTCTCACAGCAACTCAGTAATGACCTATTATTATCCCCTACTTTCCAGATGTGGAAAATGGGTCTCAGAGAATTTAAGTAACTTTGCCAAGATCACACAGCTAGTCAAGAGCAGAGCTGGGAATTAAACTTAGGCCTGCCTTACTTCAAAGTCTGTGCTCTTTCCAGTAGCACTTTTTTCCAAAGCACTTTCACAACTATTATCTCATATGTACAGAAGAGTAAAAATGTGAAGTTGGCAGGATCGCGTCCTCTCCCTTCTCAGTGATCCATTCACTGCTGTATCTCCCATCAGTACACTCCAACCTTTCTCTCCAGTCCCACCTCAGTGGTCTACCACCACCCCTTTAGCAGTCTGCAATCCTATAAATACCATACCACCCCCATTGCCTGATTAAGACCTTTAGAGATAAGCGTAAGCATTAAAAGGTAGTTTCTTATCACGTGATTTTTAAAATGCTAAACCATAAAATTAAATTTTGTGTTTAACTGACCAAAATGTGCATATGCTGAGTTTTTTAACCTTCTTTCTAGATTTTCTGATAATGCAGAAATTTTCTTTCCCTCTCCCCTGCCCTCCCTCTGCTCTTCTTCCTCCTTCCCTCTACCTATCCCTCTCCTTCTCCCTCTCCTTCCCCTCCTCTCTCTTTTGCCTTGCTGATGCCATCAGCAAGGACTTATTCTGCTCTCTGGGTGAATCAGCAATGGCAAATCCCAGAGAGTAGGGATCCAGGAAGTAGAGAAGAGGGCCAGACACCTATAAGAGGGACATCTCCAGGAGGTCGGTTATAGCAAACGTCCCCTATTCCTCTGTTAGGCTGTGATGGTGGTTGCTTCAGCCCTTAGCTCAGGCAGCCTGGTCAGCATATTGCCAGGGTTCAATGAAGCCAGAGCATTGAAATCATTAAGCAAATCTGCTAACACTAGAAGCCATACTGGACTAGCCTTATAAAGAAATGAAATATAGGGCCACCTGGGTGGTATGGTCTGAAGCATGTCAAAATAGTATCTCCGTCCCAGAATACCTCTCCTGATAGAAGGTCTTGAAGGGGTTGCAGCCTTTCAGAATATCCTACAAAAATACAAACACCCCAAGCATGTTCCTTTCAGAATTCTTTGAAGTAGTATCTCAGTAGGGATTCATTTTTCCAAAGTTATAGCCAATCAAGGCAAAAAGCCATCTAAGTATGTGTAGAACAAGAAATAAAATGAGAAGATGGTAAATGTCATAAAGGGAGATTAAGAGGTGACAAATTTTGACTCCTTCAGAGTTGTACCAGAGTAGACCCTGTTTCTATTTCATTACCAGGTGTTCTGGCTCCAAGTCATATGAGTAAGGAAAATTCTAGGAAAGCTTTCCAAATTCTAAAGAAATTGGGAACGCCCACTGTCCCAGTGCTGTATAGTGTTGACTGTTGATGGCATTGAAAAGGTTCAATCGTGTACAAAGTACATTGTGGGTTAAACTTTAGAAAGTGCTGCAAGCTCTAACGCAACCATAGAAATAACATGTTAAACAAAATAGACACCAGGGTGAGACTGCCCCCAAGGGATAGCTGGGCATTATGCCAGAGACCTGTGGGGTAAGGTAACCTGTCCTGTTGAGTCTTTTCCATGGCAGCAAGAGGGAGGGGCAGGAGCTTGAGTTGCTTGAAGATGAAGCCCAGCCAGCTTTGGGGAGGAAGACCCCAGCAGAGACCTAGAATGGTTCGGGTTGTACATTTGCTGACAAATTAAAAATATGATTCTTAGTACAATGTACAAAGTAGAATTTCATCTTATTCAAGCTGTCCCTTCTCTTTTTCCCTAAGCTAACAGTCAACATATGTAACTTATTAACATAACTGAGCATAACTTTGCAGTCTTTTTATATCTAAGTGAACATATCTGTCTTCTTTTTTTCCCTAAAAATTCATTTGCCCAGTTAACAAAAGCTCATTTACTTAAAATGTTTTCATAATCATTCCAAAAGGTCCATAAATCCCATTGTGTTGCCAGTGTAAGTAGAAGGATTAAAATATAGGGGAAACACGATGAGAGTTTGGATGTGATTACTTTCCTATTCTTACTTGACTAATTCAGGATATTAAAACTACTTTAGGCATTTTGACAAAAGTGAGTGTAGCTCTTTTTTCCTCTTGAAAGAGAATAATTCTCTAAGTTTAAGCAGTTTGGAACTTGTACTTAAGGACGTTGAATTTGGTCTTTGCTCTTTAGCAGGGGCGGGGGCGGGGGTAGGGGGAGAGAAAGGTCTCTGTGTTTACCCACTGGATAAATATGCCTGTAGGCAAAGCACTGTTCAGTACATTAGTCAATGGACTTAAATATCTATCTTGGCTGCTCCCTAATCCCCCTTGTTAATCATCTCATCATCCTGCTCAGGTGCCTCCAGTTCTGATTTTAGAGCATGATTCGGTAAACTAAATCATCCATAACCCAACCAGGAAAAAAAAAAAAAAAGCTCCTGAGTAGTGAAAAAATCGATGCTGTCAAATCCATGCACTGTAGATTTCTTTGTATGAGAGCCCCTGCTCAGCCTTCACACAATTCTAGCAAGTTTACCTATCCAGTTTCCAAATTCACAGATGATTAAAAAGAATAAATTAAAATGAGGTTACTGATGCTACAGCTGCTGCTGCTGCTGCTGTTTCTTATTATTATTACTATTATTCTTCTTATTATAAACATTTATTGGATGTTACTAGCTGCTAGACACTCACTGTGCTAGGGCTTTTACATGCATTATTTCACTAAATCTTTGCAACAACTCTGTAAAGTTAAGTACAATTCATAGCTCCATTTTACAGTTTCACAAACTGAATTTTAGACTAAATTTTAGAAGGACTAAGTAATTTACCAAATTTGTGTATACTTAGTATAGACAGGCGTAAAAGTAACAGTGTGAAGGGCTATGTGACAGCCCGATAGCAAAAGAGTAGAAAAGACACAAAGGAAAAATAAATTATAAGAAGTTGGAAAGCATAGCAATTTGGAGGTATTTAATTTGGAAACAGGACACTTTTTACCTCTCAGTAACTTTCAGAAGGCAACACGATGTTACAACACAGTAAAGGAGTTGGTTTGTGTAAGTACGACCCCAAACCATTACAAAGTAAATTAAATTATGTTCATAATCATCTACTTAAGAATGGAGAGAGAAGTGTAATGCATGCTATAAATATTTCTCTGTCTTTTTTAATTGGTAAGGTAAATATCGACTGTGTGTTTTGGATTCTCAAAGGGAAGGCTTCAGTTGTCTGAAAAATTCACATAAATAGAACACATTATTCCCTGATGATGGTGATATTTTTATGTGTGGTGTGTTTCTAAAGAATAAAATATTAAAAGGGAGGGAGGGAATATAACTCAATTTGCAAAAGATTTTACTTTCCTTTTCAAAGCCTCTGCATTCGGCTTCAGCTAGTCCAGTCTGTCAATTTGTTGTGGTTTGGGCATATTCCATTACCAGGGCTTGTCCCATTACGCTGACTAATGTGGAACTGACCATTTTTGAAGGAGATTTGGGACCATGACTGATGTGATGTGTAATTTGAAGTGGCCAAAGACAATCCTCAACCCCATTCCTTACTAGGATGAAAATAGCTGCCTCTGAGCCTTACCTAAAATGGCCACATGGCCCAGGCCCAGTGTGTGACTGTGATTTCTCATGAGAAGAACATGTGAGATCTTGAGCAAGGTCCCTTCTCAAGAGGCCAACCCTTAGTGAGCTACCTAGGTGCTGCCTAGAGCACCTGAGTGGTTCAGGAAAGGATGAGAATACTGGGCCAAGACATTCAGAAGGAGCCAGGGGCCTTGCAAGACTGCTGTAAATACCCTTCAACAAAGTTGGCCTCCTCTACAATCTTACCCTATTATACCTTGCCTAGATCTGTCCATGGTAAAGTTTCCAAGGAAATATTGTAGGGAGGGACCCTGGGGACTGAGTAGGTGGGCAGGGGAAGGGGCTGAGGGGCTGCAGCCTGCTCTCTGAGTGAGAATTAAACAAACGGCCCAGTGTGGATAGAGTGAGGGAAGGTTACATGAGACAGACATAAAATATAAAGTCCCAAACCACTGTGGTCATTCAGAAATGTTTGCAACTTTTCACAAGAGCAGTGGTATTACTCCCAATTTCCTGGCCAAATATTTATTAAAGTAACCAAGGGCTGAGTACATGAGGCTGCCTCACATCAGTGCAGCATCCTACTTTCCTTGCGGCTCTAAACTGTGAGGTACTGTCAAAAAAAAAAAACTCTTCCACACTTGAAATAGCTATGTTACAGAGGAGAGTTGGAACGTGTTCTGGGAGTGGGTGTGTTTGTTTGAGTTCAGTGTGTGCAGAAAAGGCAAGCCTGCACAGCCATTCACACACTTCCCTCCTCAGCGATGGGTACGCAGACAGCCAAGCTTCTGGACTAAATCTCTGAATGGTAATGTACATTTATAAAGATTATTTTCTTAACTATTTTCAGGCATTTTATAAATAATATGCATGTGTCTGCTGAGCGTATATATATATTTAGTCAACTTTTGCTTGTTTTCTCCTGGCTGCTCTTGTGCGGTTACTTATGTGGTATGATTTCTGAGGTGTCAGAAAGAGCTCCCCCCTACCTCTTACCCCAGCCACCCAAAAATATCTCTTGGATTGGCCCACCACAGAGCCTAAAATCCCCACATTGCTCAAACATTTGATTTAGTCATTGAAAGCAGCTGTTAAAAATCCAAGTGTTACATTAGGATATTAAGCAGACATTATAAATTAAAGATTATGTAAAACAGAAAAGAATATAGAGAAATTACTTCTAATATAATGTTAAGTTTCAAAAGAACAATACAAAATGACATACATGGTTTCGGTCAGATGCTGTTCTTAAAATGTCATGGGCATGTATGACCTAGCTCACGACTATGAGCCTACAGTAAAAGAAAACCAGCACTGTTGGGCAGGTTTTGTTCTGATTTATTTTGGATGAGTGCTTTCCATAGTTTCTGATCCTCAGATCCCCACTCTTTTCACAGTGTATCTGACACCTCCCTTTGCTGAGCTCCGGAGGCCCAGTGACCTCCTAGTAATCAACCTTGGCGGGGCGCAAATACCCACCTCCTGGAAAACTCACATAGCCTAACATCTGCCTGTGAGGAACTTTCAGAAAGACCTCACAAGTACCCACCCAATCTTGTTTGGCAAACCAAGCCCATTTCGTCCAAAGATGGTAGAGGACCTAGCAGCCTCTTATATTGCTCTGAAATTGGAGAATGAAATTCTGCAGGCCCAAGTGCAGCAGCTCATGGAAGAAAATGCTGCCCTGCAGGCCCAGATGCCACAGCTCCAGGAGCCCCAAGCAGACAAGGAGGATGAACCACTCCAGAAGCCCTCAGAGGCCCAGGAGCCCCAGAAACCCCCAGAGTCCCTGGATCCCTCAGCAGCTTTGGAGCCCCAAGAGCCTCCAGAGATCGAGGCACCCCAGAAGCCCAAAGAGCCCCAGAAGACCCCAGTGGCCCAGGAGAACCAAAAGCCCTTGGAGCTCCCAGCAGCCCCAGAGTCCCTGGAGCCCCCAGCAACCCGGGAGCCCCAGGCACCTCCAACGGTCCATGGGCTCTCAGCAGCCTGGGAGTCCCAAAAGCCCCCAGAAGTCAAGGAGGCCCAGGAGCCCCCAAATACCCAGAAGTCCCAGAATTTAGAGCCCCAGGATCCTTCAAATGCACAGGAGCCCCAGGAGGCACCAGAATGCCAGGAGACCTCAACATACCTGGAGCCCCTTGAGCTTCTGGCTCCCCAGGAGCCTCTGCAGCCTCGAGTGCTCCAGGATCCCCTGGATCCTTCAGATGCCCAGGAGTTCCTAGAGCTTTCAGCACCCCAGGAGTCCCTGGAGGGCCTAATAGCTATCGAAACATCAGCAGCTTCAGTGTTCTCACGGTCTCGCAGGGGGTTAAAGGCTGGAGCTTTCCCTCTAGAATACCCTTTAGCCTGCAGTGGGGATGCCCTGAAGCCTCCTGAGTTCCTGGTTCAATTGAGTAGTTATATGAGAGTCAGAGGGCACCTGTATCCCACCAAAGCAGCCCTGGTGAGCTTTGTTGGCAACCGCTACTCAGGTGAGGCAGGAAAGTGGTTCCAGCCCTTAGTAGATATCCAAAGCCCCCTGCTGGAGCAATTTGAAAGTTTCATACAAGTGCTCCAGGGTACTTGTGACAAGCCAGAAAACATGGAAGGTGCCAACCACAGCATCCGTCAGCTCTGCCAAGGGGACAACCCTGTCCATCAGTATGCGACCCACTTCCCCCTCATTGCTCAGGAGCTAAACTGGGATGAAAGCACTCTCTGCATCCAGTTTCAGGAAGGGCTTGCCAGTTCTAGCCAAGACGAACTGTCTCGCACAAGCCCAGCCACCAATCTATCTGGTTTGATCACCCTGTGCATCAAGCTAGAAGAGAAGCTAAGGGATAAGCCTGATCCAAATAGAGAAGGGGCGAGTCCCTCTGAGGCAAGAGCTGGGCCTGAGAGTCCACCAGCTGAAAACCAGCCTGTGCAGCCTGCAAGCAATCGCCCACACCTCAGTGAAGCTGAACGGGCCCGCCGCCGTGAAGGCCACTTGTGCCTCTACTGTGGTCGTCCTGGTCATTTTGCCAGAGATTGTCCTGTCAAGCCTCATCGTGCCCAGCCGGCGGGAAACATCGAGGCCCGGCGGTAAGGGGGAACCCGGGCGGGCCAATTTACAAATATGCATCCCCCTCACTTCCAATATCCATGTCCCGTACCCTATGGCTTACTGTTGAAATACGACTGGGAAGACGACAGTTCTTTGAGCAAGCAATGGTGGATTCAGGTTCCTACAGAAACAGCATTGACCATTCTGTGGTTCTGCGAGAGAAGCTGCCCATCCGCAATAACATCTTCCCTCTGATGCTTGAAACTGTGGATGGCCGTCCACTGATTAATGGACCCATAACCAAGGAAACACCACCTCTTGAAGTTAAAATTGGAAACCACGTTGAAGAGCTCCAGTTTGACATTATTCACGCACCACGGTACCCTCTGATTCTTGGCATCCATTGGCTGGAAACACATGACCCAAACATTGAGTGGAGTACTCGCACTGTGTCTTTTCCATCCCGTTATTGTCACTACAATTGCTTCAGGCGTAGGTGGAATAGAAGACGTCGTGATGAAATAATTGCTGGGTAGGTCCTGTGTCCTAGTGACTGCTCCTAGCCACCTGCCTTCCATTACCTCAGCTATCATTAGCATTTGCTGCTCCCAGAATCTTCCACTGAATCTCTGGCAATGAACTAAGGCTACCTGTACAACAACACTGCCTCGCGGATCATGGACTGAACCTGACAACTTTGAGCTGCTTTTTCCCACCAACCTGCACACCCCCCTCTTTAAACCCTGCATTAATGTGGGGCTGATTTAATTACAATTTGTACTAACAATATGCATGAGAATAGATATTAGAAACTGACATTGGAAAAGTATAGTTGCTAGAGTGATTTGATTTTCTTCCTATCAAGATTTTCCTTATCATAACAATTGCAACATCTTTTCAATAAAGAAAATAAATTTGCGAGTGATATTTTTGAAAAATCAATAAACATTGGCAATTTTCACTGGTGTTTGAATTATTTCTTGGCTTAGCTGAGGAAAGAGGATAAGGACAAGTAAGTTGGGAGGGAGAGAGGATTGGAAAAGGCTCAAAGTTTGAGTGGGGTCCTGAATATTCCAGGGGTAGAGGCAGGTCAGTGGGTGATGGGGTAGGGAGAGATGGAAAGAGTAGGGAAACAGTTGGGGTGAAGGCAGACTGGGTGAGGTATGGAGGGATTAGAGGGAGGATAGAGGGAAAGTTAAGCAGAGGGTTTGGAAGAGACTGAGAGGAGGTTGGAAAGCATTCGGGGGAGGGCTAGGGTGGTATGAGGGCAGGGGTGAGGGGAGGAGGAAGTTGCTACAAAAATTAGGGGAGAGCTGACAGAGATACTGAACACTTTGAAAGCAAACTTCTTGGACTTCATAAGTTAACCAAACACAGAAAGACAATGGAGAAGTTAATAAGACCCCTCAGTGACCTAGCTTTCCAGATAAACTGACATGATCTTATTCCCTGCACCAGGGAAATTTGCCCTGGACCTCATGCCTGTTAATCTTCTCTTGCTGGTGCAGAGGAGTGGGGTGGCAGGAATCAGCTTTCAATGCATGGAGATCATTAGTAGCCAACTGTACCTCTCCTACATAAACAGGATGCCCTGCCCTGCTCGCCATGCTGCTTGCATGACACACAGGGAGAGCCAAGTCAAGGAAAGGAACTTATGTCTTTATGGACCTGAGAGGGACTAGTGTCCTAACTTAAATCACACACGCACACACACAATCTACAAGGTGGGTGATAGGGAGTGGGTGGGATCTCCAGGTGAGATATGAGGAGTAATAAAAGCAGACTCTAATGTGTTTCCTCTGTGTTTTCAACTCTATTTTGGGAGTCTCTTTTGGAGGCCTCTTGAAGGAGATTCTGCCTCTTACTTAGACAAACAAATACACGATCATAACCCTAGAAGAAGATAGGTGAGGAACTTACCATTCATTGAGCCCCTAATATGTTCCAGCTATAAAATAAGGCATGTTATTCACATTAATTATCTCATTATTCTTCAGAACAACCCAGTAAATTAGGTATGTTTGCTCGCTCTTTATCAATGAGCAAAGAGAGTCCCAGTGAGGCTAGTGCACTTGCCCAAAGTCACAAAGCTAGTAAGTAGCAGAGGTCTGTTTGGCCTCCAAAGCCTGTGCCCTTTCCCCCACAGCATGCCAATCTCCCCAATGCAGTGGTGAGGGCTAAACAAGATTGTGGCAGCAGAGAGCTAAGAGAGATAACCCTAAAAAGGATGGAAAAACTCAGAATAAAAATTGCAGGGACCATTTCGATAGTACTTCTGTTTCTCCAATTCCCTTGATCTTCCCTCCAAACCCCTCACCACCCTATACACTGCCAAACTTCCCTTTTCATCTCTTGGAGGATTTCCTTTGGTTTAACTAATGGCACAGCCCCCTTTCAGATTCCATGGTATTTTTTCATGGGATTTGGAAGGCTATCAACAGTCAGTTACTTGCAGGTCTTGTATGTTATCTAGCAGCATGTGCACCACCTTTCGGATTGTCTGCTTAACCACTTCCATAACCAATCCAAACCACGTGCAGCCTTAAATTCTACCTCTTCTAGTCTTCACCGGCCCTCCCTTCCTTCCCTGACCAGTCTAAGGTATTTTGTCATTATACACCACCTCGTTGTATGTGGGGCCCTTTCCCTAGATATATGCCCTACATTCTGCCCCCCCAACCCCCTACACACACAAATACTTAGCCTGGGTGCAAAGAGAGAATCTTCTACATCCCTACCCTTGAGAGCATAGCCTAACATAGTGGCTGGTACATAAAAGTTCTCCACAGCAACAGATTCAATGACATAGAATTATCATTACCCAGGGAAGGTGCTTATTTGTGTATTATGGGCTCTTCTTGTTTTTTCCTCCTACTCAATTGTTCATCTCTACCACAAAAAGCAAATACTATTTGTCAGTGTGCAATCCAAGACAAAAAAAAAAAAGGGTTTAAGCAGCTACAAAGAAAAAATACCTTTTATTTGTCAGACTACCTGGAGCTAGGAAGACCAACTGTGTTGGTTACCCCAGGACTGAAGATTCATGGGATATAGGACTTTCTGTGTTAAAATTGGGACAATTCTGGAAAAACTTGGATGGTTGGTCAACCTACCTGGGCCCTACATTTTTATATCTGGCTATAGAAGCTAATTTAACTACAGTGCAATTCTTTACTTCACAAAAGGGATCAATTATCTAATCATAGAATCACAGAATTTTTGAGTTATAACAGACTCAAGTCTATTCCCTTAATTTTACAAATGAAGGAGCTGAGGAGGTCCAGAGAAGGGAAATTTACTTAATATAGCTCAGATCTCCTGACTCCAAACCCAGTGCTCTTTTCACCATAAGCCACAGTTCTAACCCAGTAGATAAAAATCTAGTACATGGCCTACTGTCGACAGTGTCTAAAGTATAACACGAGAGGTTTACAATGTGATAAATGAGAAAAAATTAGCAGGCATCAGACAGGAAGAATAGATAATCAAATGTGTGGTGATAACAAATATACCAAACTGAAACATTGTATGAGCTGATAAAACTAACAATAATAATTACCATTAATGAGCACCTGGGTTTTGCCAGACATTGGGCTAAGCAATTCAGGTCTTTTCAATTGTATGCAAGATAGATATTATTAGCCTCATTATATAAATCAAAGAAGTGAAGACCACTGAGGTGAGGTCACTTGCCAAAGGTCACACAGCTAAGAATTGGTGGTTGCTAAAAAAAACCTTGCTCTGTCTCACTCCAAAGTTAGAGTTCTATCCAATACACCATACTGCCTCTCAGGCTGAATGACCTTTACTCTTTATTAACCTCTTAAACAATATTTATTCACTAGACATGAGTCCTATTATCTTAAAAAAGATATTAATTTGTTAGTACATTCATTTGTTTATTCACTGAACAAGCATTTACTGAATGCCTTCTACGTGTCAGGCACAGGCATAGGGGGAAGAGGAAGAAAAAGAGAGAGGTATGAAGATGTCTAAAGTATAATTCATAGTTCTTGCTCTGATCACAATTTAATGGGGGAAGCTGTAGTGTAACACAACACTGTGGTATACAGAGGAGAGGGCACCAATTCTGCCATAGACTGAAAAAGTTTGTTTTGAGCTGGGTCTTGAAGGAATCTCGTTGGAAACAAGAGGGAGGGCAGGGCTTTTTAGATTGAGTAAAGTACACATGAAAAAGCAAACTGGAGGGAAAAATTATGATGTCTTTAGAAAAGATAGTTGTATTTCACTGGAGAGTAGAGTATGTGCACGTGTGTGTAGGGTGTGGGGGGAGTGTAGGTGGGGAGAGGAAGCTAAACAAGCAAATTGGAAATCTCGGAAATCCCTATCTACCTGGCTAAGGCGTTCAAACTTTATCCTGTGGGCAATTTGGACTGGAATTTTTGTTTTTCTTTTTTTTTTTCTATGTTAAATCTGGGTTTGTTTTTCTCTCTGGCTACAAAGTTGAAGCACACTCCCTGTAACAAATTCATATATATCAGAAGTTTATAACATAACAGTCAAAGCTTCCCCTTCCTCTCTGCCCTTTATCTCGCAAATCAGGAGGTTTTTAAGTAGGGAAGAAAGGCGATTAGTTTATATTTTAAAAATTTGATAGTGACGTGGAAAATAATGAAAGAAAGTGACAAAATACCCCCATTCTTTTTTACCTTCTTAGATTTTATGAAGATGGGTTTAAACCATCAAAGGCAAAGAATAAAAAGTAAATTAAACCTAATTTTTCTCAAATGTTTATTTTGAGGTTTTACCATGAGCAAGACACCAAAGTATGCACAAACATATACAGGACAATGTCCCCACCATCAAAAATTTTACAATCTAATAACAGATAAAGGCTCATGAATTATAGAAAACCACGTTTCCATTTGGGTCTCTTCAGTTTCAAGTTTAAAGACTCTAAATGGAGAGGTTTTTCTGAAAATATATATTCTGCAATATTTGGCACAGGTAAAAAGAAAACAGTTCCCTGTTTAGCTAATTTTTCCAAGTTTAAACTTTAACAGGAAAAATGATCTCTATATATTTTGGTAGCCTCCCTTTCTGGTTTGTTTTCTTAACAAATATGTCATATTTCATGCTATTAAAGCATGCCTGGAGTAGTCATGGTCATTCCATAGAAGGATTTATATGGGCTCCAGTTCTTAAAGTAGCTTTATATTTCTAAAAGTATGTTTTAAAAGGTTTTTAAGGGATAGATTATTTTAAAAATTCTTAATTCAATAATCTTTGATATCTAGTATATTACTAGATACCACTGACAAGAGAAATATAGGCGTCAGAGTACTAGGGGTCTGACATTAGGATTAAACTCCTGAGTCTGTCACTTACTAGCTGTATGACCTATTTCATTTATGAATTGAGGATAATAATATGTGCTTTACCTATTCAATGAAATTATAGAAAGCATCAAATGAAAAAACATATTAAAAAAGCATTATGAAAATTGAAAGTGCTGTATAGATAAAAGGTACTATAATAACTTATCTTTGTAATAATGACCCCAAGGACCTTCATAATACTAAAGTAGCTGTTTAAATTAATTTCAATTTCACAGACTTCTAGGAAGTTTTGCTACATGCCAGGTACTCTATATTGTCAATCAAAGCAAAATTCAATTAGGTTTGATAAAATTATTGTATTAAGTAGGGTTTTTGGGTATCATTACAATCAAATCTTTTGAAAACAGGAATAACAAGTTTTGGAATATATACCAGCACTCTATTTACCAGAATATTCTATTATTTAAAATGCCAGTTCCTTCCTGGGACGTTTCAACTAAATAATAACATATAATTGGCCTGAACTTATTTCTTCATCTATTTAGCCCAACCTAGAGAATACAAGTCAGAACAGATTAATCTTCATGTCACCGCTAAAAGAAAATTAAATTAAAAATTAAAATTCATAGGACTGTTGTCTTTTCCATTTCTAAATTATATG